TTAAATCTGCTCCCACAATAATTATAGCCTACCAAACCCTATGGGGAAACCCTGGTGGCATAGTGGTTAAGAGCTACTGCTGCTAACCAAAAGGTCAGCAGTTCAAATCCACCAGGTGCTCCTTGGAAACCCTACGGGGCAGTTCTACTCTGTCATATAGGGTGGCTATGAGTCAGAATCTATTCGATGGCAACAGTTTGCTTTTTTTTTTTTTTTGGTAAACCCTATGAGGCAGTCTACTCTGTCTTATAGGGTCACTTTGAGTTGGAATTAACTCAACAGCATGCAACAACAGCAGTGGTTTTCTATTGCACTGAGAATAATATCTCAACACTTACTGGGGAAACTCAAGGTCCTCCATTACCTGGCCCTGTCTACTTGTCCAACCTTATCTTCTACAGCTCTCTCCTCCTTCTTACTCACTTTGGTCGAGCAACACAGATCTCCTTTCTCTTATTTGGTTACATCAACCTATTTCCTGCCTCAGGGCCATTGTGTCTGTTATTCCACTGGCCGGGAATGCTTCTCCCTTGGTTCTTCTGGCCTGGCCTTTCTCTCTTCCCTCAGAATTGAGCATTAAGGCCAACATAGGTATGAGGCTGCCAGTGGCCATCCTGGCTAAGATTGAAGGCAAGGATTGCTGGTAGGTGGAGGAAGAGAGAGAACTGAAGACATTTTTTGAACCCCTAGATTCAGCCGTGCCTTAGGTGAGACTCATCCATTTGAATTCCCAGCACATAAATAAACAACATCATGATAAATGGACAAAATATTGAAGTTGTAAAGTATTTCATTTTACTTGGATCTATAATCAACACCCATGGAAGCAGCAGTCAAGAAATCAAACGATGCATTGCATTGGGCAAATGTGCTGCAAAAGACCTCTTTAAAGTGTTAGAAAGCAAAGACGTCACTTTAAAGACTAAGATGCACCTGATCCAAGCCTTGGTGTTTTCAATCGCCTCATATGCATGTGAAAGCTGGACAATGAATACGGAAGACCAAAGAAGAATTGATGCCTTTGAATTACGGTGATGGCGAAGAATATTGAACATACCATGGACTGCAAGAAGAATGGACAAATCTGTTTTGGAAGTACAGCCAGAATGCTTCTTAGACGCAAGGATGGCAAGACTTCTTCTCCCATACTTTGGACATGTTATCAGAAGGGATTAGTCCCTGGAGAAAGACATCATACTTAGTAGAGGGTCAGCAAAAAAGAGGAAGACCCACAATGAGATGGATTGACACAGTGGCTACAACAACGGGCTCAAGCATAACAATGATTGTGAGGAAGGCACAGACTGTGCAATTTTTCATTCTGTTGTATGTGGGGTCACTATGAGTCGGAACTGACTCAACAGCACCTAACAACAACAACAAGGCAATAACATTCCCCTTTTACTTTAGCTAATTTGAGTTGGGTGTCTGTCCCCTGACATAGAAAACACTCTAATCCTCCATGTGCTCCCTCCAGCCAAGCCTGTGAGTAGCAAGGGTGGAAAGCAGGTAGGTCTCTTTCAGTACTGGCTTAAAGTGCCTTTTCAAGATCCTCTTGCAAGTTTGCTCAGGGAAGGACTAGACTCCTTGGCAGAGCTGCCAGACTCTCATTCCCAGCTCTCCGCTAAATATCTCCATTGGCACTCTGCCGCATCATCTTCCTTCTCTCTTTTTCTTCCATCTCTTCCATATACTCAATGTATGAATATGCCTATACATGTAAATTATTTTTATAAAATTAGTATCATACAATCCTGAAACCTGCTTTTGCATTTGAAAATACATTGTGAATATTCTCCTACATGATTTGCTATATTTTTGTAACATGATTTTGAACTTAGTATTGTATGGAATGGATGTGTTGTAGAGAAACAACTTTCACCAAAGCCTTCCGCAACAAAGAGATCTTTATTGTGACACATCAGAAAACAAAAAATGGGAAATTGGCTGCAAGCACTCAGGCTATAAACAGACCAAAATCCAAAGAAGTACAATTTTCAGGTGCTTTTTATACACTTTTGACAGGTGTTGATTCATTGGGAGTAAAGGTCTTTTAACGAGTCCTTTACAATCCTTGAAGTATGTATCTGTGATTGGTTATGACTGGTTAAAGCAGAGGCAAAGAACTAAGATCATGATCGGGTGATCTTTTCTTGTTTTCTTTTCCTGGACTTGGTCTCTTGGCTGGCTCAGGGGTCCTGAGTCTGTCACATGACGATTGATTTTTGTTATCCGAGCTATGTATGGTTATTGGGAAGATCTTTAACTGGCTTCCTGGGGTAAATTGTTATTTAGTTTTGGTATGCATGTCCACAGTCCATTGGATCCGTAAGAGCACTCCGTTCTGCCCTTTGATGTAGTTTTTTACTGTTTGAAGTTCTATAGATTCTGACAAACAAGTTGGCCTTTTGTGGTTATGGTCTGCTGCGGTTAGGTTAACCCTTTATCAGATGTAACATAATTTCATTAACCAGTCATCTATTATGGAAAATTTATATTGTTCGTGATTTTCAAATAATGCTGTTCCACCACCATAATTAGAATACAGAATTTGTTCCATCACCCCCCATAAAACTACCTCATGCTATCCCCTTATAATCATAACTCCCCCCATCCTTAACCCCTGGCAACCATTGTTCTGCTCTCCTTCACTATACTTTGTCCTTCTGAGGATCTCATACGAATGGAATCATATGGCATGTAACCTTTTGAGACTGGCCTCTTTCACTCAGCGTGATGCCTTTGTGTGTGCGTCCATAGTTGTTTTTTTTTAATCACTGAATAGCATTCCATTGTACAGATGTGCCATAGTTTTTTTATCCATCCACCCACTGAAGGACATTTGGGTTATTTCCACTGTCTGGCAATTTTGAACAGACTTGCTATAAGACATTTGTGTATAAGTTTTTGTGTGACCATAATCCCAACAGTAGGATTTCTGGATTATATGGCTGATTTATTTAACTTTGTAAGAAATTGTCAGATAGCTTTTTAGAGTGACTGTACCATTTTGCCTTTCCCCCAGTGTGGTGGTTAAGGTTACGTGTCACCTTTGCTGGGCCACGATTCTCAGTGGTTTGGCAGTCGATGTTGTGATCACTTCCACGATGAGATTTGATATAATGTGATCACCTCCATGATTGAATTTGCTGTGAGTAGCCAACGAGTTGAAAGAGAGTTTCCTTGGGCATGTGGCCTGCATTGACTAGAAGTGGACATTCTGGCAAAGCTCATGAACTTTTGCTTGCTCTGGATCCTGCAGCCGGCTCCTGTTCGTCTGACCTCTGGGTCTTGGGACTTGAGCTAGCAGCTTACCTGCAGTCTTGCCTGCCGATCTTGGGATTTGTTGATCTTCACAGCCTGTGAGCAAGAGCCCTGCTCTCTGACATGCCAATCTTGGGTTTGCCAGTACTCTTTACTGGTTTTGCTTCTCTAGAGAACCCAGCCTAAGACAACCAGCAATCTATGAGAGTTCCAGTTGCTCCACAGCCTCTCCAGCACTGTACTGTCAGTATTTGCAATTCTAATAGGTGTATACTGGTGTCTCAACTCTTCAGGTGCTTGTTTGCCGTCCTTCTTTGTGTGTGTGTGTGTGCGTGTGTGTGTGTGTGTGTGTGTGTGTGTGAGAGAGAGAGAGAGAGAGATAGGTCTGCTCTTTCTCTTATTTTCAAGTTCTTGGTGTGTACCTCACTGTTGCTCTTCAGGTGCCACTTACAGAAATGGTTCCCAAACTGCTTACCAGAAGTCCCTTAGGTTAGTGGTGTGCTGGAGATGGCTTACAGCACTCTGGAGAGCCAATTGTTAAATTTTCAAGAATTTTGCAAGCTGTCTCAAGTCTTATTGGTAGTTTAAAATCATGGGGGGAGGATTTACACTGTGGAAATCTATAAACACTACAAAACAGGTGTCCCACCCCCACCCCAGCCTGTTCTTAAGCATTTAGTAGCACACCACTGCCTTAGGGCCATGGAGTTCTTAAAAGGATCCTAAATTAATCTGTGCATGTATATTTTCTCAATAATGAGTGCAACCATTAGCTTGACAGAGGCAGGAATATCCACAGAAATTAAAAAAAGGATACTTAGACTAAAAGAGTTTGGGATACGCTGACTTACCTTGGATACACTAAACTGCTTAATAGGGTGACCACACACCCTACACCTGTTATCCAAACATAATTATCAACAGTGTTCCCTTTCACTCTCACCAATGTCTCTGTATGGGCAATAAGTTATATGGTTGCCCCATTAACAGACTATTTACCTTCTTCTCTCCTCCCCCCTCTTTTCCTTAGAGAAAGAACCCAGACTTCCATGGTTCCTTTGTCTGTACCAAGTTCAGGCATTTGACCCTTCTTTAGCAATATTTTATGTCCCTAGGGAATTTAAGAAGAAGATTTTTTTCTCATAAAGAAATGGAGTTTATCCTACGGGTTGTGATCAGATCCTATTCTCACTTTTTCCTGTGTATAATAATACAGCAGATTTTTGTTCTTTTGTTTCTGTTTTCATTTAGATTTTGCTTAGGGACACTTGTGTGGTTGTTGAGAAGGCAGATCACCGTATGAGCAGACCCTTGGATGAAATAGGCAATAATTATGACCACTTTTCAGTTTAGAACCTTCTTTATTAAGGAAGGTCCTTCAGGCACTTTTATGAACAGGCAGATACAAGCTTGGCAAGAGCACCTCTCAAAGTCACAGTTTCAGTGGTTTTTGTGAGGTCAACCAGAAGACAGGGGACACAGTGGTGGGGCCTTAGCATCAAAATAATGACAATCAGGTTGCCGACCTTATGCCTTCCATCAAACATAGCCATCACCCCCTCTGCTTCTTCCCTCTGAGAAATGAGGAGAAGTTGGGATTCAGGACATGATGTTAGTCTAGACTACATGTGGCATTTGCTTTGACAGCAGACAAGGCCTTCCACCCAAGCCCAGACTTGGACAAAATGGTGGCTATATTCTCTGTACCAAAGCTTCTAACCTCTGTCGTGTCTAGCCTAGATCTTGAAGTGTCTGATCCTCCCTGGGCATGGGCGGACCACTGGACCAGCAGGCCCAGTGGGCGCAAGCCCCACCACCACAGGTGGTTTCACTGGGTGGAGTGCTTCTCCTGAGGCCGACTCCACTGAGGCCACACCTGAGAAGGCACCGGGCAGGTCATAGTGTGCCCGGTGTAGTAGGTGTCTTCGGGGGGCCGCCGCCACCAAAGGTCCCACCACCCGGACAGCCGCTGGCAGGTTAGCTGGAGCGGGCTGAGGTGCAGCTGGGTCCACTGCAAGGGGGGGAACTGCCACGTTGTTGCCATCTGGTTGGGGCTGTGGAACCACAGGCTGGAGAGGGGACCATTTCCTTAGGTTAGCTTGCTTCTTCCCCACATACAAAGCCACCCACAATTCTCACCACCTCTCACCCAATTTTCTCATAGTAATCACTTTTAATTTCAAGGAATCTGGCAAAAAAAAAAGAAGAAGAAGAACCACCTTGGTCCAGATAATTGTCATCAGGATTATAGGGTAGTGGCCCCAGTCTTACCGGGTTGTCTTGGTTATGGTGGACTTACATACACATGTCCCATCCCACCTTATGGCTAACTTTAGCCTGCAGAGCCACCCTCGTTGTCATCTACATCTGCAGCCATGGAAAGCTGCCAGGCAGATCTGGCCATCTGGTCTCTACAACTCAGAAAATCGCCCGACTCCCCACAAATAAAAAGATGGCCTTGTCAACAACGCACTAAGATGGTTCTGCCCTGTAGCCTTCAGCTCTTGGCAGGGGAAGGCACGTCTAAAATATATGTCCACTTGTTGATCATTACGCATGCCCCAACGTTATCGATATTGTGAGGTTTGGAAGGACACAACATCAAAGGTTCTGTAATTATTAACACACTAGACGATTATTAAGGGATCACTGCATTCTGAAGATGAGGGTGAATATACCATAAGGTGTTACCTGTGTTTGGAACACCGTGCAGGTCACTGCAACATCTTCCCCACCAAACTTCTCAGTGAGTGTCGCCTTACAGAAGCCATACTGCTGCGCGGAGAAAGAGAGGAGCTATTTTACCTGAGGAAAAACGTGGATTTCTCCCCCAGTTTCATTGATACTCCAACACATCGGGCAAAAAAAATTAAATTCCTAATTTATTTATTTATTTTTAAATATCTTTTTCTTAAAGCTTATTGTTTTTTGAAGTTTATATGGAGATATATAATACATAATCTATATATAATGTAGTAAACAAACACTTTGAGAACGAGAGAGTTCACCCTAATCCCAGAAATGGTGGTGATGCAGGGATAACCATTGTTAACACTGATATGTTTCTTTTTCACTTAAAAGAAAAAGTTTTATTTTATTTTTGTGAAAATATACCCAGCAAAGGGTATATACCATTCTAACCAATTCTGCGTGTATGATTCAGTGACGTTGCTTACAGTCTTCGAGTTGTGTAACTGTTCCCACTATTCTTTTCCAAATTATTCCACTGCCATCAACATAAACTCACTGCCCCCTAAGTTTCTCATCTAAACTTTCAAGATAATGTTGTCAGTTTGATTCCACACAGATATATCTTTGAAAGAACACAATGATCAAGGCAGACATAATTTACTAATTAAGCTAAACTGTCGTTGATTCAAAGCTGACTTCTGGAAACAGTTTTGGTTTGAGGTTTAAGGTTTGAAGATTACCTCAGGGCAATAGTTTCAGGTGTTTATCCATCCTCAATGGCTCCAGGAAGTCTGGAGTCCATTGATAATTTGTCTTTCTCACTTTTAAATACAGATCATATGTAATTTACAAGTTGGATAATTTTGACCACACCATTGCGTATCCAGTGTTTTTCACATACGATAATAGCATGTTCTCACATCATTCATCATTCTTTGAAACCAGAATTTTTTAATGTCTGCAGGATTTTCTATTTCCTGATGTGCCGCATTTTCTTCAGTAACCCTTCTTGTTGAACGCTCAGATCTCATTTTTCTTCTGCCATTTAAAATCTATGATAAATCATCCCTATATTTCTGTCAGACATCACTGGTTATTTCTTTAGGCTAAATTCCTAGAAGTGGCTATTACTGGGTCAAGGACTTGAAAGTTTTCCCATTAAAGGTGTATCCAGAAAATCTACATTGCAAACTCCCAGCAGCCGGTAGGACTTGGCTTCACTAGGAAACGGTCTTTTTTCTTTCTCTTAGCCCCTTGAGCCTCCAGGGGGTGAGATAATTTGATGATGACCCTGCAAGTGTGGAAATCCCTGGGTGGCGCAAATCGTTAATGCACTCAGCTGCTAATCAAGAGGTTGACAATTCAAGTCCACCCAGAGGGGGCTTAGCAGAAAGGCCTGGTGATCTACCTCCAAACAATTAGCCACTGAAAACCCTACGGAACACAGTTCTACTCTGACATGCATAGGGCCTTAGCAACTGACTTTGATTGATTTTTTTTTTAATTGTGCATTAGGTGAAAGTTTACAGAGAAAATTAGATTCCCATTCGATAGTTCGTACATAAAGGTTTTCACGGCTTTAGCTTCATTCCCCACAATGTGTCAGCACTCTCCTCATTTCCGCCCAGGGTTCCCCGTTTCCTTTTGTCCTGATTTTCTACCTCTTTCTGCTTCTCATCTTTGGGGCAAATATTGCCCTTTTGATTTCTTATAATTGATTGTTCTAAGGAGCACGTTCCGCTCGGGTGTTATTGTTTATTTCATGGGCTGGTCTATTGATTGATTTTTGAAAGGGCAGAAGAGGATACCCTAGAGGAAGTCTGGCATGACCCAGCCAACAACAGGAAGCGGCATTTGGCCCTGGTGTTCGCTTTCCACAGGCCCAAAATACAAACCGCAGCAGGTTGCTCTGTTCTGTGACCGACTCTGCCCACACAGCAACAGCCCCAGGTCCTTCCTTGCAGACTTACCTTTTCTGCCAGCAGGTTGCACTTGGCTGGGTCTGTCACCTCTTTAGCAACACAGTCAGTGGCAGCCACTGCAAACTCCACATAGGTAGAAGGTGGAAGAGGCTGAATCGAATAAAAGAAAATGCTCTTAAGGCAATGTGACTTAGCATGGAAAAGGCAGCGAAGGAGAGGCTGGAGGGAAAGAGCGAAGCCACGGCTCCAGGAGGGCACCATTCACGTGGACCACATAGTGTCGCCCAGGAAACACCACCCTGAGTGGTTTACACAGGGACAGGTGCTGTGGGATTGTGCTGTACTGCAGAGACCTTATGCGTAGGAAGTTGGGTCTTCCCTGAAGGAGGTACAGGTATCCATTGTCTCTCACTCAGGTGGAGGCACGGGAACTCAGATGGCAGACATTCGACTGACATCAGTGGGCACTCTGACACCCCCGGTCCTCACTCTTGGGTCTGCATTTTGAGTCCCAAGGTCCAGGTTACTCCAAATGGGGTGGGGAAGTAAAGGGATTAAGCCCTGTGCCACCTATTTCACAGAGTGGGATCAGATGAAAAAATTAGATAAAAGTACGAAAGACGTTGCTTGTGCTTTTATTTCTTAGAATACTTGGAACATATGGATACCAAATAATAAAATATCTGTTATTTGGTGTAGTCTGGGATTAGGGTGCTCTGAGAAATCACATACTCTGGCTAACAGGATTACTACACCATGCTTTTCCATGTTACTTGGTCGCTGGTGTCCGGAATACCAGTATGGTTTTTTTAATGTTAGAATTCTATTGCATTCAAATGTATTAAACAACACACAGTACAATTAGGTGTTTTGTTTTGTTTTTTTTCCAGCGACTCCAAAGGCATTTTAGGGTCCTGCCACGACAGGCCAGTCAGTATAAGCAGGCACATGCCGTTCTAAGTATCAGTTGTGAGACTTCTCTGGCTGTTCCGCGGTGTTGGGTAACAAAGATGTGGCGACCTGTGACTTTTCTGTGCATGCTTTTGGATAATGCGGGAACTCCTCACCCGCTTTAAAAACAAACCATGCCGTGGAGTCGATCCCGGCTCATAGCGACCCTCTAGGATAGAGTAGAACCGCCCCATTGGGTTTCCACGGAGCGGCTGGTGGATTGAACTGCCGACCTTTTGGAGAGCAGCCTGAGTCACTAGGACCGAGGAAATGCAGATATGCCTACGACCGTCTGTGGCTGTTTCACGCTACAGTGGCTCTGCATAGGGGAGGTGCGGAGGGGCCTTCAGGTCCTCGCGACGCAGACCTGCCCAGGACTCTTTCTTCCCCTAGTCTCCCACCGCCCCAGCACTGCCCTGTCCTTCACCTGCTGCTTCACCACACACATTCCCGCCACACTCCCACCAAACTGCCCAATCCTCAAAATCTCTCAGTCTTTACCGCAAGTTGAGCCCGGGAAACTTCCACAATCTGGTAATAGGAGCCATTACTCTGAGCGTTGAAGGCCGCCAGCGCAGCTTCCACAGCGTGCACCACCCTGGTGTCGTTAAGCGGAGCCAGCAGGGGGCAGTCTGGGCACACTTTGCGCACGTCCTCCGCAGAGTCTAGCACAGAGGGAAAAGAAGCTGCGATCTTGGCTGGAATTCTTCGTGCCATCACCCCAGCTCTTCTTATTTAGAAAAGGCTAACACATGCTCCAAAAGGCTTTAGGCGTTTTCTCTGCTTTTACTAAACCTTTAAGGGGCTCAAGTCATGCTGACTTCTGCTTTCTAAAGACAATTTTAACCTCCAATAAGAAGAGCTCTTTAAAGAACAGTTTTAAAATTCCAGAACCCATGAAATTTGACTTTGACTTTTCCTCACCAACAAATTGGCTAGAACTACATAGGCGGAGGAGTCCCTGGCTAGTGCAAATTGTTAATGCGCTTGGCTGCTAACCGAAAGTTTGGAGGTTTGAGCCCACCCAGAGATGCCTTGCAAGAAAAGTCTGCTGATCTACTTCTGAAAAATCAGCCATTGAAAACCTTACGGAGCACAGTTCTACTCTGACACGCATGGGGTCACCAAGTGTGAGAGCCAACTTGATGGCAACTGGTTTTCACCTAGGTTGAAAACAATTCAGATTCCTTCCCAGTCTCTCTGCAAGATTAAAAGAAGAAGAAGAATCATCTCTACCTGGACTGGAATCGCAGTTTGCAAACAACACAGCAAACTGGCCGTCCAGCTTCAGCAACCGGAAATCACAGTCTCCTTCCACAGCCTGGAGAAATAAACCCACAGTGGGAGTCCAGGAGGAGAGGCTGGCCTTCCACTTCCCACCGGAGAGACGTTCCTCCGGGCATGGTTTTGGGTGACCCTCCCCCAAAACCCCTCCACTGGGTAATGTTAAAACACTATACTCTGCTTTCAGAGAGAGCTGCAACAAGAAAGTTGGCCTGCTGTAAACATCAGCACCAGGGAAAGCGGCCTCACAGGGCAACTTCACAGGTTCGCGGCCTGCTCTTTGTTAAACCCAGGCGGGGCAGGTGGGGCTGGCGGGGGGCGCCACCGTAGGCGCCCTCAGAAGGCACTCACGTGCTCCGTCAGCTGCCTCACGGTGCAGTTCGCCACGGGGGTGGGGTCCAGGACGTGGCAGATGGTTTCCAGCGTGTCTAGTTCAAGCTCAAACAACTCTCCCGTGGGCCGCTGTGGAGAAGCAGGAGGAGGTGAGCAGCCTTTTCCCCCCGACCGTGTGGTGTGGGCCAGAGTCAGCCTTCACTGGGCTCTTCCGCCCCTCCCCCTTTTGGGGGAGGTAAGGGAAAAGTCATCCCTACTGTTAGTAAGAACGAACAATTTTGTCTTGGAAGAAGTACCACCAGGATGCTTCTTAGAAGCAAGGATGGTGAGACTACATCTTACATACTTTGGACATGTTATCAGAAGGGATCAGTACGTGGAGAAGGACATCATGCTTGGTAAAGTAGAGGGTCAGCGAAAGAGAGGAAGACCCTCAACGAGATAGACTGACACAGTGGTTGCAACAATGGGCTCAAGCATAACGATTAGGAGCATGGAGCAGGACCGGGCAGTGTTTTGTTCTGTGTGCATAGGGCCGCTGTGAGTCGGAAGTGACTCCAGGGCACCTAACAAGAACAACGACTGTTAGTCTACGACTCTGTGCATAGCTCTGAGCTGGTCTGTTGACAGGACAGTGACCAAGCTTCTCTGATCTTCCTCCCCTGATTGGACTGAAGAGCGCTTGCCAGGAAGAAGGACATGTGACATGCGCCTACTATGTGCTAGGCCCCTTCACCATATCGTGTCATTTTTGCCTCCCCCCACCTGAGTCCTGGGTGGTAGGTGTGTATGGAGGTTGCTAGAGCCACAGGCCTCACTCTGAGCTCTATATGAAAGCTAAAAATGAGTGTTGATATTTATGTTTTAATTTTTAAAATTGCACCCTTCAAGCAGTGCTTTGAAAAAGCCAGCTTTGGATTTTTGCTCAATCAGGAAGCAAAAGCAAGGTGATGCCGGAAAATACCTTATTGCTTTTTCTTTATCTTCTCTTTCCTCCCTCTACATTCTTTTTTTTTTTTTGGTGTTGTTCCTTCTCTCTCACCATCTCCTTTCCCTCCTTCCCTATTTTCTTTTCCTTCCTAAAGGTTCGTGCTGTTGCTGTCTTTGGCTTCCCGCCCCCGCCCCTTTTGACTTGGAGACGGCAGGAGGCAAAACTACTGCTCTCTACTGCCCCCTGCTGGTGCTGAGAGGAAAGAGCTGGTCTCCCTCTGACACTGAAGAAACCCCACCCCGCTCTGCTGGTCATATCCCTCCCTGCCTGCAGCAGGACCCCCCCCCCTCACTCCTCATCCCCACTTTAGCCAGAATTATCTCCCTTCCTTTTTTCTTTTCTCCAAGTAGCTTACCCAAGATCTTGGCATCTCCCATGAGCTCTCTCTCCCCACTCCGCTGATCTGCGCTTTGCTGCATCTGTGAGCCTTGTTCTCCTTCTAGGACCTCTCTTGGAGGAAAAATTCCCCCTGATATTAGAGGTTTTTAGGGACTGATTTTCAATCCAACAAGTCAGCTTGCTGAATACCCTCCTTTCCCTCTCACAGACCCCTGGTGTGCTCAGATCACGTGGAGGACACTCTGCCGCTAAACCCGCGGCGCTCTGGGGCTGGCATCTGGCCCCCGCCCTGTGTGCGGTGCCCCGGTCCCCTCAGCCGCTTCCTCTCTCTGCTGCTGTACCACGTCCCGACAGACTTTGGAGCATCTCCCTCGCAGTGGGATTGACTCCGAAATCAGGATTGTCCCAGATGGATTTGAGGAGTACAGTGGTGGTTCAGCGGAAACACTGATCAGTTCAAGGGAAATACAACGCAGAGTGCACTTTTGAGGTGCATAATGAGTGGGCTTTGCAATTTCCACTAAAGGCACAGCTTGACAGTTACTTTCCTTGAAAAAGCCAGGAGTACCCAGCTCCTGTTCAGCGCAGCTCTGAACATTTTCAGGGAGTTAACAGAGGCACTTCCGCACGTCGTGAAATGCAGAGCTTCCTCCAGGAGAGGGTGCTAGTGAGTGAGGCAGAACTGAAATGAGAGGGAAGCAGAGTTGGGGGCTGCGAGGATAAAAAAGCATATTTCTGGATTTTCCAGGCTTTGAAGAAAGGATGCAGACAGAGGAACTTCAAGAACAACTCCAAGAAATTATACAAACTTCGCTATCACTGCCTGCCCCACAACACCTTCCCCCCTTCTACTTGTCCCAACTTAATACCCGGCACATAGTAGGCACTTGTCAAATGTTTGTTTCATTCATTCTCAGTCTCCCTTACATCAGAGACAGAAATGGAGGCCAAGACAGAGACGTGAGTGGCAACTTAACAAATAGAAGCCAGTCTTTTGGGCCCTAGATTTTCTGCTTGTGATATTAGAAATATCATTCGAGGCTTTTTCTTCTGCTACCAGCGCCCTCCTGAGACCCTTCCTGAGACCCCAGATTGCAGGACAGATGGACTCCTGTCATGCCCTCCTCCTACCCCCTCCTTTACTCCTGGGAGAAATCAAAGAGTTTGCCCCCTTTGTGGTTTTGTTGGTAATGGGAGATGCTGATCTTTCGAGGCACCCAGTTGAGGTCCACACAGGGGTCCTTGCAGCTCATCCGCAGCAGGCTCACTCACCCGAGGCCACACCTTCACTTTGTCAATCTGGTTCAGGATGTGCTTGTAGCCCTGAAGAAGGTGTGCATTGACGTAGTCCATGGCCACCTGGGCTGCTTCCTCGGTTTCTGGGTCATCACAGTTCAGCTCTCTGTAGACCAGACCCAGGCCTGGTGGGGCCGAGTGGCAGCGCCAAAGCTGAGCAAGGCACAGGAGCAGGACGAGGGACTTCATGGCTGCCCCGGAGAGGCCCTGGCAGGAAAGCAGGAGGCTGAGGCTTCAGGACTGACCGACTCAGGTGCTCTGCTATGAAAGGTAGACTCAAGGTGGGGGGCGGAGGGCTTTATTTATCTGTTGGAGCCTGCCAGAGGAATTGCACAAGGACATGGGATGATTTCTCTTCAGGCTCCAAGAAAAGCCCTGCAAACATCAGCTATGGAAAAGCAAACAGATTAGGATATTGCTGACCCCCCGAGAAATCTGCCAAAGTCGATCCCACTGTGGGGGAGATGCTTCGAAGTCTGTTGGGACGTGGTAACAGCAGCAGACAGAGAAAGCAGCTGAGGGGACTGGAGCGCAGCACACGGGGCGGGAGCCGACATGCCAGCCCCAGAGCACGGGCGGGTTTAGCTGCAGAGACAGTATCCGCCACGTGATCTGAGCACACCAGGGGTCTGTGAGGGAGAAGGAAGGGTATTCAGCAAGCTGACTTGTTGGATTGAAAACCACTCCCTAAAAACCTCTAATGTCAGGGGATTCTTTCCTCCAAGAGAGGTCCTAGAAGGAGAACAAGGCTCACAGATGCAGCAAAGCACAGATGAGCAGGAGTGGGGAGAGAGAGCTTATGGGAGATGCCAAGATCTTGGGTAAGCTCCTTGGAGAAAAGAAAAAAGGAAGGGAGATATTTTTGGCTAAAGTGGGGATGAGGAGTGAGAGAGGGGGTTCCTGCTGCAGGCAGGGAGAGATATGACCAGCAGAGCAGGGTGGGTTTTCCTGCCCCCTCATCCCCCCTCTATCCAGTCCTCGCTGCCAGGGTCCTGAAGGGTGCCAACATGGTGGGCTCTGACCTGAATCTCCTGGGTGGCTGACAGTGATTGGAGCCAGGGCCTGGTGCGCACAGCTAAGGCGTGTGCACAGCAGAGGGGAGCCCTGGCTTACCAGCCGCTGTTCGACAAAGCTCTGCGTTTGCGTCCAACCATGCAGGCTGAGAAGCTGAAGGGGAAGTTCAGGGCACAGATGCCACCTTCATGCCCTTCGTGGCCTTAGCTGAACTATAGTGTATCTTTCTGGCTAGGCCACAGGGACGCTGTGTTGGTTCTCAACGCCGCCTTTTTCTTTTTTTTTGGTGAAAGTACACACAAAGATTTCTACATGCACAATTCAGTGACATTGGTTACAGTCTTCAAGTTGTGCCACGTTTCTCCACAACCTTTTCCAATCGGTACCACCTTTTAAGAGGGCCTTGACAAACCCAGGTGAGCCCTGTGAGGGGGGCGGGCAGGGTAGTGAGGGGCTTGGAAAATGTCAGACACGGGTCTGGTTTGGTTTAGCCTGGAGCAAAGAAGCCGCCAAATGGAGACCAACATGTTCTTCAAATATTTAAAGGTCACCATTGTGTGTGGGTGTATTTGCTCTCTTGTTTGATATTGCTTCAGACAGCAAAACTTGGTTAAAAACAAAAAAGAAGGGGCTCTCCACAGGGAAGCTGAATGATATTGATTTTGTGGGGGAAGGGGAAGGCAGAGAAGGTGACTGTAAGGCCTGTTTTCACGTTTACACCTCGCTGCTCATATACTTGTACAGAATCTTAATGGCGGAGGCTCAGAAGGTGTGGTCAGGGCCCCAGATTCCGTCTGGGAGGCAGTCTTGGCTCTCAGAGACTCAGAATGGGCTCTGGCCTTCTAGCGAGATGATCCTCAAAGCCAGCAGCAAATTCTCACCTGTATCATATCCCATTTTCTTCAGGGTCCTGACTCTTTTGTGGATAGCATGCTTTTCTTTTAAATAATCTTTAAAAATATCAAATACGGTCATTACTGAAAGTTGAAAAAGAAAAGGTATATATGTACAGTGAGTACATATTTCCTAAGCGATAAGCTCAGGTGTGTAAAATAAATGCTATTGGGTTTCTGGCTCTGAGTTCTCTTTCAGGAAAAGTTCATCCAGTCACCTCCAGGGAAACTGGTTTCCCAGACACTTTGGTTGAAACCCAGTCACATTTGGTATTGTTTCCCCTCATTCTTCTCCCTTTTGGGGTTAAAGGTAAGCTTGAGGTGGAAGGGTGGAGGAAAGGCTGAGGCAAATGCCCCGTCAGTCAAGGGTGGAAAGGGGTCCGTCTTTGGCCTCTGCTGGCATTTCTCTCAGGTGAACTGTCCTCTTGGCACGTCCACCCGTTAGCTAGTGCCAAGCTTGTTTCCTTCTAGTCCGTAGACAGAGTCCTCTTGCGGCCTCTGACTAACCGAGAAAACCAAACCCACTGCTGTCGAGTTGATTCCAACTCAGAGCGACCCTACAGGACAGAGTGGAACTGCCCCATAGGGTTTCCAAGGAGGGGCTGGTGGATTTGAACTACTGACCTTTTGGTTAGCAGCCAAGCTCTTAACCACTGCGTCACCAGGGCTCCGATCCTCTGACTAGGGGTCCCTTATTCCAGCTCTGAGACTGTTTCTAGACCTCAGGCCTTCTCTCAGCTAAGTGCCCCCCTTTCTTTGATTATGGCAAAACTTGGCTGCTGGGCCACACAGGGCAGTGGAGGGGTAGGGTGGGGGTCAATGAAGCTGCCTTCAAACCCATCTACCTAGACATCCCCTGCTATTATGGCCGCCACTGCTCTGGTGTCACCCCACTACTCAGTGGGTTTCCCTCTATGACGTGATACTGCCCTGTGCTGCCCCCTGGGAAGGGAGCTCAGGTCTCCTCTGCTCTCAGACCCCCACACTGAGCTGGGGAAGCTGTATTGCCATTTCGTTCTGAGGGCGCAGGGAGAAAAAAAAGCACCTGTCTGATGATAAATCCTTTCTGGTCATTTCTGTCTCATACTTGGAGCATTGCTTTTGAGTTCAGAAGCTAAGGGGTTGGTGTCTTTATTCTCGGATCTTCCATTGGTGACGATTTCTAAAACATTAGATACTTTTCCTGTTTAGTTCATGTTATAAAAACAAGACATGTCATGAAGAGCAAATACCCCAAAGATTGTCCTACCTCGTGTGGACGGGAAAACGAAAACCGTCCTCACAGAGGTTCGTGCAGAAACCGTGTGACCGCGTGGTGAATTCCCATCTTGTCTTTTTTCTATCCTTATAAATATTTTAATAAAATTTAGATCCTACTGCATATACAATTTCGTATTCTCTTTTTCAGATTACATTGTAATTAGAGCGTTTTCCCACGTTATTAAATAGGCTTTAAAAACGTGCTTTTAAAATGGCCACCTGTCATTCTGTTGTGCGTGCATCATCCTTTATTTAACCCAGTCTCTTATCGTTGGGCATTTAGTTTCCTGTCAGCTTATCACTATCATATAAAAGATTTATTCAGGAACCTTTGAGATTCTAGGCATTTTTTCAGGAGAGAATCTTAGAAGTAGAATTATGGACTCGAATCATTTGGTGTTTTTAAAGCTCATAATTTCTATGCTCAAATTGCCCGTCAAATTGCCCGTCAGAAAGGCTACAGCAATTGACACCCCTACAAATTTAACTCATGTGTCGTGTAGCTCAGCTGGTCTCTGTTTTACTCTGCTACTGCTTGCAGGCTGACTTTCATGAGAATTTCCACACACACAAAAAAAAACGAGCCCACTGCTGTCAAGTCAATGCCAACTCATAGCCACCCATAGGGTTTCCAAGGCTGTAAATCTTTACAAAAGCAGACTGCCACGTTTTTCTCCCTTGAAGCAGCTGGTGAGTTTGAACTGCCAACCTTTTGCTTAGCAGCGGAGTGCTTTTAACCCCTGCCCCACTAGGGCTCCTTAATGAGAACTTAGATATGTGAAAATCATTAGAATTCTTTTATTAAAATGTGTTTTATGACTGTGGTTTTATCTCAATTACTCCATATCTAATACTTGAGTTTAAATAACTTTGGTGACAAGCTAAATAAAATGGTCCCTTATTTAGATTTTTTTTCAGCTTCCTTAGAAAAATATATTGCCATTTAGTTAGGACGTTTAGGATGATGTGGTGTGTGTTCCAAGATACAGACAGCATTAGGGCCAAAGGGAGGCAGATTATAATGCCTCATGAGCGAACACCAATTTCAAAATTTAAAAGATTTTCATTCTATTCTTTCAAATGTATATACTCATGGGTGATCTTGAGTCGTTTTTATCCAACTGATTCTAGCTTTGTATGCCATGTACGAGATAGGCATTTACTCCATATTTCCAGTCATTTGCTTTATTGTTGTAATTACTTATCTGCACATTTTCTGCAAAGCCCGCGTCACTGCATCAAAACAATACTCTTTGTATTCATACTAACTGCTCTGCCTGATAGCGTGTTGAGGAATCAGGGGCTTGTTGGTGTTGGTAGAGGAAGCCAGGCTCACAAGCTTAAGGATCAGAGGAGAATCAAACGTCTCCAAAAGATGAAAAAAAAAAAGTCTCCAAAAGATGGCAGCAGTGCGCTGAGCGGTGCTTCTTGGGTGGAGCCCACAAGATGGCACCAAAAATAACCCCAAACCAGTTGCTATCAGGTCAATTCTGACTCATGGTGACCCCTGTGTGCAGAGCAGAACGACTCCATATGGTTTTCTCAGTTTGACTTTTTAGAAGCAGATCTTCATGCCTTTCTTCCAAGGCACCTCTGGGTGGATTCAAACCGTCAACCTTGTGGTTAGCAGTCAAGTGCTTAACTGTTTGCTCTTCACAAACACAAAAGAAACCAAACCTGCTCTTAACCTCATCTTCCTGAAGGAGCTCAACTCAACTCTTTTGGTCCAGCAACATCTGATCAGCAAAGTTAATAGATGAAGCTAGTCTAATGTTTGCTCTGTGGAGGACAATTTGGATTCATTTTCCCAATGTAAAGCCTTGGTGGATGGAATGCAGCTTAGCCTTGTCCAGGGACCCACGCATCGAGTTTCTCGTGAAGGTAACTCAGCGCCAGTTGCCCTGGAAGTCATCACCCAGTAATTTGGAAGAGCCTTTGCACTCAGAGCTGATGCACCCAAGTTGGGAGACACGGGCCCGACCACAGCATGACAAACATGGTTAAAGCTCAGCGACCAGAGGTGATGACTGACTTTCCCCGGGTGGAGAGAGGGCTCTGCAAATCCAAATCCCAAAAGGAGCTACTTTTGGGGAAGGGGAGCTGGGCAGAGTAGGGCCCCAACAAGGGTGAGACAAGGGAAGGGATGAAGGCACAAACCATACGGAAGCACCAGCTCTCAAG